GGGGTCTTTCTGCATGGAGCTTGTGTGTGTTCTCCCTGGGTACTCCAGCTTCCTCCCACAGTCCAAAAACCTGACTGTTAGGTTAATTGGTTTTGCTAAATTGTCCTTAGGTGTGTGAGTGTGTGTGTGAGGTTGGTTGTCCTGTTTGTCTCTGTGTCGCCTGCGATGGACTGGTGACGTGTCCAGGGTGGACCCCGCCTCTCGCCTGTTGACAGCTGGAGATAGGCACCAGCACCCCTCGCGACCCCACTTGGGATAAGCGTGACAGAGAATGGATGGATGGACATAGAATGTGCTTATTTTTAATAGAAACGCCTGATTTTTGTTTGATTATTAGTAGCCATGTAAACAGATTCTCCCACCTGAGCAGCTCCTCCAGTTACCATTTTGGCTGCTTATTTGAATTCACCTTTCCCACCCTGTCAGTGTATTAGGTTGGCAGTTCTGCTTTTTTTCAAACAGGTTCAGACGATGATGTTCAAAGCTTTGTATATTTGTTTTCATGATGTCGTTTGTTCAACCGTGTTCTTTAACAAACTTCTGAGGCCTTCGAAGGATAGATAAATATATGCAGAAATCTAATTAAAACTGATATATAAACAATTCTAAATTTGTTTTCATTCCATGTCACACTACACTGGAAAAAATCTAAATCTAGATAAGTCATTTTTTTCTTAAAATTAGTGCATTTGTTCTTGGATTGAGGAGGTAAAAGAGACATTTTGCCAATAGAACAAGAATATTAACACTTAAAATAAGAAAACACAATTGCATTGTCTTATTTCAAGTGCATATTTATCTAATTATCTTATTTTAAGAGTAAAAATACTAATTCCATTGGCAAACTATCTCATTTACCTTCTCAAATTAAGGGTAAATACACTTCATTTAAGACATTTTTACTTATTTCTAGATCGTTTTTCCAGTGTACTGGTCTAGACTGCTTAACAAAGCTCTATGGCATAAAACATCAATAATTTACATTGGAAATTGCATTTCTAACATAAAAAAACAAAAGGAATGGAGCCAGCAATTTGAACAATAATGGAAGGCACTGCATATAGAGCATAAAGAATACGACTCAATCCTTTAAAGAGGTTTGGGGATTTAATATCAGCCTTCCAGAGGAACAAATCTTTCCCCCTCTCTACCCTCATAGTGACTTTACATTGTCTTCCATTCTTATTGCCTTTATTTCTATAACGCCCGGCATGCACAGTGATTTTCTGTCGTTTTTGAGAACATTTTCCAGTCATGCGACAAGTTTGGGGATTGGGCGTGGTGCAGTATACAAGGAAGGTACGAGAGGCGTTTGGCTCTTTACGATGAGCTCCCTATCATAGATCGTGGGTCACAAGAAATTGGTACGGTATGTTGAAGCGGCGATACGACCAAACTGGAACTATTCGATATACTGCCTTGTATGTGGGGATTGTTCAAGAGCCCCACCTGTCTTTGAGGACAGTGAGGCATCAGAGCGTCGGTTCTTACAGTATGAGGACAACCATTGCAGGCAGTGACCTTTTGAACTTTGCAATTGATTCACGCAATTTGAGTTGGGGACGCGAGGAAAGATGGAAAATATCACTCAGTGTATCCCAGGCTTAACGCGCACCCTTAACCTAACTACTAACACATACTTACCCTAAACCTAACCTCAGCCCAATTCACACTTAAGTCATAACCTTAACCTTGATGCCAAGAGGAGGACATTTTCTTGTGGTCTCCAGAAGTACCTTTGGTTCTCAAAATTGACTAGGAGGCAAGGAACTGTGCTATGGTGGTGTGTAAACGGTCGTAAGGAGCAGAGCTCGGCACGGATCGGTTTTCAGAGGGTAATGTTAAT